ACCGCTTTCGGGCTCAGCGCCCACAGTGCCCCGCTCAGCGGGCAGGATCCCTGCCGGGGGTGAGCCAGCCCTCATTGGGACCACTCAGCCGCAGGAAAACAGACCAAGAAGTTTCCATGAACACCATCTTGCTGTTGCTCCATCCGCAGCTCTTTACAGCCCTTAATGATATTGGCTGTAACTATTAAGAGGCTTTTTTTGGGTTTTCTCTGATAAGGATTTTCCTTTCCCGAGCACAGCCCATGGCTCAGCGGAGGGGCCCCCCCCCGCTCGCCGGCGCGCGGTGATTTTTTTTTAGCAAGCAGCCGGGCTTTTGCTGCGGCAGCCTTCACCGTAGGGAAATTGCTAACCCCAGAAAACTGTTCCCCTAATTACAGCCTTGGAGCATGGAGCAAACCACATAAATGATTCACACAGTGTTCCCAAGTTGCAGCCGCGTAAATTAGAGATTTCCAAACACTCCCGAGCCATGCACGCTGTTATCAGGATGGAAATGCAGAAACTTTCATCGTAAAGAGGCGAGGAGGGGAAAAAAGCCCCGCCGTTAAACGCATCTCTTCAAATCAAGAAGACCTGGGAGGTCTATCCCCTATAGATCTTTACAGAACGGTTGTTAAACTCCTCGGGGAGTTCTCATAGGAGGGAGCAGGCAGATAGCAGGGGAACTATAGAAATGCATCAGCTTGTTATTTCAGAGGGACGTGGGGACTGAGCCTCCGCTGGCAAGCGGAGCATGAAAAGGAGAAGGCAAGGGGACTTGGGGCCAAGAGAAAGGGATGGCTGGCTGTGGGGAAGAGAGTTAAAAGTGTCCCATTGTTAGGGAAGTTTGCTCTCCTTCAGACCATCCCGCTCCCAGGGACACCGCGCCGCCTTTTGAAGTGCAACCTTAGGCGGTTCCTTGTCACCCATTGGAGCGGGAGCTTTTTTACCACATTAAGTCATTGGGTAGCAAATGAATGGGGGGTTTTGACTATTCACAACTTCACCTTATAAATATCAGGGTTGTAGGTTCCTGCAGCTTTCCTCCATCCCGATAGCTCACCTTGGGAAGGAGCGGAGGGAGGTGGCCCTGCTCGCTCGGGGACCTGCGGTGCAGAGAGCTACGGATCAGTGAAAGGGATCCAGCCCCGCTCCTTGTGACAGCCATGAAGACAAGCACCTTCCTCATCCTCTCCATCGCAGGGGTCTACAGCACCGTTCTCCACGCAGCAGCATGGTAGGGTCCAGCTCAGTGGAAAGGGCATTTTTTAGGGATGCTCTTCGGCCTGCGGCAAACTGCGTGATTCATTTTCTTTTCTTTGTTTCAGGTCTGTGAATAACTTTCTGATGACAGGACCTAAGGTAATTAACAACTGTCAAGAATTTAAGTAGAGCAATTTTGTTTTGCAAATGGAAATGGGACTTTTCCAAGGAACCAGATTTCCCGGAGCATATTGGCTCCGAGTCCCACTGAGTAACGAGGGAAAGGACTCGCAACCTGTTTGCGTCTGTTTTCGTTGATAAATGGTAAAACGCGGTGGATTTTAACCCCGCTGTTTCCCGTGCCAGGCTTACCTGACGTACTCCAGCAGCGTGGCGGCCGGGGCGCACAGCGGGATGGAGGAGTGCAAGTTCCAGTTCGGGTGGGAGCGCTGGAACTGCCCCGAGAGCGCCCTGCAGCTCTCCACCCACAACCGGCTGCGCAGCGGTGAGTGCGCCTTTACCTGCCACACCAGCATCCCCGACCCGGGATGCCTTTGGGTACAAGCTGGGATGCGCTCTGGAGAGAGCTGGGGCAGATAATTAGACCAACCGATGGAGAAGGGTTTCTGTGTCCCAAATATCACGGTGGTTTTTCTCCCTCTGTGTTAATTGGATACAATGAATAGCATTAACATTTTTCTAGGAATCCCAGGCTCTCCCTGGATCTCTATCCGTGCTGGGCTAGAGCTCGGTCCTTCCCGCAGTGCTGCTCCGTGGGCTCGCTCCTGCCACTTTGTGCGCAGCATCCCAGGGAGCGCAATGCTGGAGGCACCTGAGCTCGCAACGGGCAGAAGTGCAGGAGAGATGAAGAGAGAAACCAGAGACATGCACTAAGAAACTGTCTTCGTAAGGAAGTTGTGGATATACCTGAATACTGACTGCTTCAACAAGCAGAAATTTCCTTTTGCCCAGAGCAGCATCTTTATTTGAATTTATTAGGAAAGCCAGAAAAGAAACTAAATGAGAAGTGTGGGTGCAGACAGCTGTTAGCACAGGTTCAACCACCGACTGAAACAAGATCAATGACGGTTTTCCCCAGCAGACAAGATCAAAGCATGAACATACCCCCGAGCAGGAAAGGACAGAGACAAACGGAGTGCCAGGTGAAGCGAGTGATAACTGACCTTGGCCAGGGCAGGGTTGGGGCATCGCCTTAAGATCCTCCTGTTGCCAAGAAACTCCATCCCATACACAGACACCTGCATAGTGTTATGCCAAATTGCTGAAACCCTCGATGCTGAAGCCTGAAGAGATTCCAATCACGAGCATTTAATTTCTATAGCACCTTCCCTTTTGCCCAAACTGGTTTGTTTGGTTTTTTTTCCCCCTTTTTGCACCTTTGCAGCACAGGAGAGCTTCATTCCCAATAAACCGGGACAGATATCTATGTTTACATGTGACAGCTTTTTTTTTCCCCCCTCTCCCCCAGCTACCCGGGAAACATCCTTTGTACACGCCATCAGCTCGGCCGGCGTCATGTACACCCTCACCAGGAACTGCAGCATGGGAGACTTCGAGAGCTGCGGCTGCGACGACTCCAGGAACGTTTTTTTGGTGAGCTGCCGTCTCAAGACGGGCTGACATCGTCTCTCCATCCCCAGGATTTCAGGGCAGAATTTGGCCCGACGAGGCGGTTCTGCGCTTAGCATGCGTCTGTCTTGCAGGTGGCCGAGGCTGGGTCTGGGGAGGATGCAGCGACAACGTGGAGTTTGGGGAGAGGATTTCCAAGCTCTTTGTGGATGCTTTGGAAACGGGACACGATACCCGCGCGCTGATTAACCTGCACAACAATGAAGTTGGGAGACTTGTAAGTCAAATATATTATAATAATAGTAATAAGAATAATAATGTCTATATTGAAAAGAAAATCTGAGAATCTGATAGGCCATTCAGGTCCCCGTCTCTGGCTGTCCATGGCAATCTGGGCCTTGTAGTATTTGCATGGGGGAAAAAATACAGCCAGAATCTGGCCCTAGACCTGAACACGAGGAACTGCGGTAGGAGTTGTTCCCACTTCAGCAAGAGTTGTTCCCACTTCAGCTTCTGCAGCTGTGTGCAACGCAGGTAACTACGAGCATACACCACTTAGAAGCGCAGGGGGTTTATACTCACCTACCACCGTCTGGTCTGTAAACCAAAGCAAGAACCACTTTACTTTCTTGCAATATGCATTTCCAAGCTATTTGGCCGGGGAAGCCAGGTGTGAGCCGGCTGCCAGACTGGCCCCCCACTCCCCGCCTGGGCCGGCAGAGGCTCTCAGCATCTTGCCAAACCTCCTTGTCTGTAAAAACAAGGATGGCAACACTTAACATACCTATCTCATAGGGTGTGTCGAGGCTTAATCTCACGTAGATACCAGTGATTGAGACCTTATAAATACCAGAGGGAGATGCGTAGATAATATCTGTGAAGTGCTTGGCCTGGAGGAGATGCAGAGAGGTTGGGTATGATTATTCCAAAGCAGTTTCACACATTTTGAATGAAACCTCTGAGAGGGATGATGGGTTGATGCTGCGATGAGCGAGGTGAGCGGCGTGAGAAGGCCATGACCTGACAAAGGCGCTTTTTTCCTGACCCGGAGAAACAGCTCCTGCAAGGGCTGGAGACAGTAGTTTGTGCCCACTCATTATCTCTGTCCTTTAAATTAGCAAAGAGGGACAGATGTTTTCCAAGAACTAAAATAAGAGCATCAGCTCGTGTCTTGGAAGGACCTGAAGTCATACCAAGCATGAACCACTTTTGACTTACTGCCCCCCCCAAATTAGAAGTACCTGATTTTGAGATTTAAATGATGATGCTCTGCTGCTCCTAATTTCCCCACCTTTTCCACCAAGGCGGTGAAAGCCACCATGAAGCGAGCCTGCAAGTGCCACGGCGTATCAGGCAGCTGCAGCATCCAGACCTGCTGGCTCCAGCTGGCCGAATTTCGCGAGATCGGCAACTACCTCAAGATAAAATACAACCAAGCCCACAAGTTGGAGATGGACAAGAGGCGGATGAGAGCCGGCAACTCGGGGCCACGGCAGAGACCTTCCACCACGTCCACGCCACGGAGCTCGTCTTCCTGGAGGACTCCCCCGACTACTGCACGAGGAACGCCAGCCTGGGCCACCACGGCACCGAGGGCCGCGAGTGCCTGCAGACCGGCAAGAACCTCTCGCAGTGGGAGAAGAGGAGCTGCCGGCGGCTGTGCACCGAGTGCGGTCTCCGCGTGGAGGAGAGGAGGACGGAGGTGGTGGCCAGCTGCAACTGCAAGTTCCACTGGTGCTGTGCCGTGCGGTGTGAGCAGTGCCGCAAAAGGGTCACCAAGTACTTCTGCGTTCGCAAGGAGAAGCGGGAGCGGAGTGGGGGTGGTGGGGCCAGCCGCAAGCTCAAGAGAAAGCTCTAACTTGCCTCTGCTCCTTCATAGTCCTGCCTGCCCCTCTCCTCTCCTGCCCTCCCCATCTCCCCAGCAGCCCCCTGGCACCATTTCCCTTTGGCTTAGTTTTGTCTCATTCCCAATGCCGCCTCACTGGGGCTCAGGCAAGGCAAAAGAGTGCTCGAGAGCCCCTGAGCCTTGGCCGTACAGGGCATTTCCCATCAGTGCAGTGGGGGATGACTTCTGGAAAGACCCTCAAGTGTTGACAAAACAAGCTGAGATTTGGTCCCTTCAACCCAGAGTCACTCTATCCAGCGACTACAATTTCATCGCTGAAAACACAGGTGGTCACGGTGGCTCTTTTGAGCTTGTCCGTTCTCCAGACAAGCACCTGCTCTGGGCTTTTGATCAAGTGAGTTCAACTCTCAGGAAAGCACAAGGAAGCTGAGATGGCGCCACCAGAGTTGGGCAACTCAGAGTGGTAATCCCTAAAATTGAAGAGGCTTCTAGTACCCTAAAAAAATAGAGGCACTGAAATAAAATTGTTATTGCCTTTTATTAAACCCTACACTATGAGGGAATAGAAAAGCTGGGCAACTCATTCCTGCAGTAAGGCAGCTTCCAGGAGGCCCATAGAGTCACTTCCTGTCCTTCGACAGCTTTGCTAAGCTCTCCAATGCTTTACTTTGCATTTGAGATGCCAGCATCAAGACTGAAGCTGCTGCTTGACCTGTCCATTAAACAGCTGTCCAAAAGAAGAGTCCCATCACTTGCTTTTTACACACTTTGCCTGTATTTTCTAAGCCTCCAGGTCTGGTCTCCCTTTTCACCCCAGCATCCCTGCCAAAGCCCTTGACTGATGCCATAAAGATGCCCTCACACTTCTCCAGTCCCTCTTCTCTCCTAAATCTCTCCCAGAGAGGAGCTGCCAGCTAAGCCCCTTCTCCACCTCCTGGTGTACTTGCCAAGCACTCTTACCCTGTCAGCTAACTAACTAAATACTTCCTCCTAGTCTGAGAAAATAATGTCAGTTACTATTTAATGGTGGTGTAAATAGGAAAGTGAAGCACTTTGAAGTTTAATTTATTGCACAGTTACTGTGATGTATACATAACAGTTTTCCCCTCTACTGCTTACTGTATATATTCTATAGGCTAAGCAAGCAGCAGGATGATTTGGTTGATGCATCTCTGTTCCCTTGCTGTGCCTGGGGTAGGGAGGGAAGCAGCTGTCAGCTGCAGGACCTGGGGAAGCTCACTGCACCATCACAGTGATCTCCCCTGGGCTGTGAGGTTATCGTCTACTTTGCTGTTTGAGGTGTCCTTTAGCCAGATGAGAAGCCAGCAGAGCTAAGTTCCTGGCCATTAGACCTGTCTTGTAGCCAATATTTGTAAACCAATAGCCAATACAATAAATCAGTAGCCAAGTGCTTGCAAAATGCTGTTGTGTCTAAGGAGTTTGGTGGAGTTTTTTCGTCCAATTGCATGTATGGATATATGTAGTTCTGGAGACTAAACCGCAGCTGTTTGCCCATCTGTTGAGCATAAGAAAAACTGACTGGTTCCCTCCAGACAGCACCATCACAGCGTCTGCGAGCAGGGGCAAGGGCTTGCTCTCTCCTTGAGCTTGTCTGAGGTTGCATCCAACTGCAGTGCAGCTGCCAGGGGGAAGGGGGGTGGGAGAGGGGCAGACAGGGGCTCAGTTGCCCATTTCAGAGATGATGCGTTAATACAGACTCAGCAGTCTGTGTGTATCTCTTAGTTATCAAATACCCCCTCGATCCCAGGACTGCTTCATTGAGGGTGGGAATTTGGACCTATGGAAAGCTGAGGTCTCACTAGAGCAAAAGCATTCATGTAAAGCAAGAATATGGTCCTCCAAAAATTGCAAGAAACAATTTTGCCCCGTTCTCAGGGAAAACTGAAACACTTCCACTTCACACACAAACCACCAGCAGTTTGTGCAAAGGTTCTTATTAACACAGCGACCCCGACCTCAGCCTCCCTTGCATCTCCACCAGCAGTTCCTCCATTGCCCTGTGGTGGGGATGCATCCTTGGGCAGGAAAGCAAAGAGGTGCTGGGAGCATCCCACCCAGCAGGGAAAGCTCCAGTGTGGGCTGGCTTGAGGGCAACTGCAAGGCAGAGAGGACAGCTTCCACCTCCACCCCATCCCTTGTACCTCTGTGCCCCCCCATTCCATGGGCAGTTGGAAATGTAAGAAAAGGAGAGGATATGGAACCTGTTTCCCGTCTCCTCCCCAGCACACGGCAGGCTGTGCTACCCCGTCCCTCCCCTGCTGACTTTATTGCCCCACACGATTGCCCCGTGAAGGCTGTGGCACAGCGCAGGATGTGCCCGCTGGGCACGGTGGTGCCTGTTGGTGAAGGGGACATGCGGGGAGAATTACAAGTGGGGCCCCACTGCCTCACGCTTCTTTCTCTGGGAGAAAATGGTGATACCGCAGCTGCAAAATGTGCTGACCTCAGCAGCGGGTCGGGGCCCAGAGGGGTCCCCCCTCCCCGGCACAAGGAGCCCTTAGTGGTAAAGGCACTGCTGCCATTGTGCGGCAGGATTGGATGCTTCCATGTATTCATTTCGGTTTAATGAAGGCGCATTCCTCAGAGGAGAAATATTTACATTCAGCTTCCCAGGTGGTCACCTTCGCCCAGATGACACACAAACAGGCAGCCCCCCCCGCTCCCTTTTCCAATCCAAACCTCTTTGAGGGCTCAGGGAGGAGGGGAGCAAGGGGAGGGGGGCTGCTGGGGGAAGCAGAATAGAGAAGGGAACAAAATGCTAATAAATCAGCCAGCCAGCCCTTTTCCCCTCCCCTCTGTGGAGTCAATGGAAAGTGTCATTTCACATGCTAATCCCCCTCCGCTCTGTTCACAACACCTTTTCCGAAAAGTGTTTGGGAAAAGTCCTTGTGGCCCGTTTACAGCTCCCTGCCGCTTCGGATTCCTTCTTGTCTAAGGCCGCGGCCCCCGTGTGGGTCTCTCCCTCCAGCGGGGCTCCTTACAAAAAAAATCTCAACAAAGACTTAGGAGTTCATCAGCCTCCCACTGAAATTCACAGCTGCTGAACAAACTAATCCCCTCTCTTGGCCTTTCTTCCTTTCAATGGGTTCTTGGCTTCAAAGACACTTTGGGAAAGGACTTTGTGGGGACTCACACTGCTCCCTCAATAGAAGTTAGTGCAAGCATTATCTTCAGAGCAAGTGGCTTTACAAACAAATACTGCCTAACAATCTCTGCCCCTCCAGCTCCCCCAAACACACAAGCCTAGCCTGCAGACATGATGTTATCTGCAACAGGATTAGAGCTCTGTTCTCTGTGCTCAGAGATCCTTTCCTACAGATGCCCCCCCCCCTCCAATTCTTTGTGAACCCAAAGGCCTTCTCACCCAACAGAAAACGCTTTCTCTATGGAGCATCGCAGGGATGCTGCGGTAGCATGTGCCCACATGGGAGGAGGCAATGTGGACCATAGACCAGAAGCTGCAGAAGCTGTTACCAGCCAGCAGAGATAGTGCTATAAATGGAGGAACACTTTCCAGGGGGGCTTGTGAGGACATTTACCACACCAGGGACACAAAGACAGGGCTTCCACCACAAGCCTTGCAAAGACTCTCGAGTGGGTCACCTCCCTTCCTCTTGCCTGGTTTCACTACCAAGAGTTTTAGGGACAGTGCTCGCTAGGGTAAACCTGAAGCAAAACTGAGCAGCAGCGGGACAAAGGGACAAGCAGGAAGGATGCATAGCAAAGGCAGGATAAATAGCTGGTCTCTGCACGAGTCCATGGGTAGCAGGACTGGTGTGTGCTGGAGGGAAGTCAAATGCATCTGCGAAATACAAGGAAAATCTGTGCTTATTTCTCAGTGGTACAAGTGGCCTGAGTTAAAAAAAAGAGGGGCTGGACTGCACACGGTACTGTAACTGGATCCAGAAAGGCAGAATCTAAGAAATAGCAGGCTTGTTAAATGATCTCAGAAAGCTAGGACTTTCTTTATATACTTGTTAAGCAAATGTATGCCTCCAGAGCCACTTGCTCACTTTGTTCATCATCAGAAAGGGTCATAACACAAGTGCTGCCTTTGAAAATCAGCTTGCATCTCCCTGATGGGGGATGGCTGAGAGGCCAGACCAGTTGCTAACTGCTCCCAGACTGGGCTGCAAAACCTCTGCAAGATTCCCTTACGCTTGGTGTTTGCCTCTGTAAGCAGCAGAACTAACAAAGGCTGTTTTTCCCCTCAATGTGTGTGCTGTGCCCATAACACTCCAGAACCCTCATAAACCCTGGTCCCTTCCCAGCAATGGCCCTTCAAACCTTCCCCATCCAACCAATCTTTCTCAAGCTTTACTTCCTCCCAAGCCCTCCAGCCATGAGCCAGGTAACGCAATCCTGCAATATTTCAGTTTCATGTGTGCTACCTGGCCTGTACATTCATACTAGCTAGCCAGCTTACAGCAAAAAGCAAACAAAAATTTTTTGAGATTACACCAGTCTTTTTGCAGAAGCTAGTTTGATTCCCCTCCCTCTTTATTTCAGTACTGATGTTTCACTTCAGCCTCCTTACCACCTTAAAAGCTTAAATGAAATCAGCCAACAGCTTCAGAAGTTACTAACTAATGGTAAGAACTGTCAATTCAGTGGTATAAGTCTGATTTCCACAAAGGAGGCCATATCCTCATCCTAGTTTAAAAGTGGTGTAATGCTGATTTCCAACAGGAAAGATCTCATCAAGGGCTCTCTGTTCACTTACTGACATACTTCCGACTTCAGATGTCAAGTGTAAAATCCCCAATGCTGCTGTGATTCTCTGAGGGAACCTCAGCCATCCTGGGGACCTTCTTGTGTCTGATGCGATGAACAGTCACAGTTGAGGTGGGTGATCTGGAGAAGATCAGTTCTCTGACCCTGCAGCCCTGGGGAGTAAGGCCTGAGGTCTCCACACACCAGCATGGTTGCTGCCCACACCAGCAGAGTCCAGAATCTGGTTTGCACCACACCATTGTCAATTCCTCCCCCTCACCAAAGCTGAGAACTCGGCTCTCAGTGGGTGGCCCTGCAGACTGAGGGAAGTCCCCTGTAGCCAGAGGTGACAAGTCTAGGAATAAAGCTACCAGCATCACAAAACACAGCTTTTATTTCACTGTTCTGTAATATCTCAGTGCATCAAACTGCAGCAATAGAAACAACACAGCAGCAACAAGGAGGCACTTTGACCTGGAAAGGAGAGAATGAGAAGTGTCCTCTCTCTCCCTTCCCCAATTCCCCTCCCTCCTAAGTCTCATGGTAGAGCAGGCTGATTCGCATGTCACTGAACCACAGTCCCACGATGGCACTATCACTCAAACAGCAAGCAGAGGAAGCAGGGGCTAGCTGCAGCCAAACATTGGGAAGAAGCCTTGCTCCCACCTAGGGCCCAAAAATTATGCTTCCTGGTTAGCATGAAAGAGGGCAAGAGAGAGGAAGGCAAGGAGGGAGGAAGAGAGGGAAAGACACACATACACAGATGTGCCCTAAAATCCCATCTGTCTCCCCAGACTTCTTCCCCAGGATAGATACGCTTCATTCATCTATTTTACCCCAGAGGAAATGCCACAGTGATGAAAAGCCTCAGCACAGCCATACCCTTGAGACCCGACAGCATCGCCTCCTGCAGCATATTCCTACTGCCACAGTGCCAAGGGGCCTTTGAGAACCACCTTTGCAGGTATCTGTTACTGTAGGCAGAACGAATGCACCATGCTTAGAGCAATAAGCTGTCTCTTCCTGCTCAAGTCTGGGCTGGTCAGAGTAGCTTGAGGGGATTCTTTATGGGACCTGAACAACCCCTGCTGCTCATAAAGCCCCTAGACTGTCTAAAAAGCCCGATGTAGGAAGCCTTTAGATAACACCAGTGGGCAAAAGGCAAACTGTGCTAACATAAAGGAAGAGAAAAAGGCCAGGAGCCAGAAAGTGTGGCTTTTAGCCCAAACACAGGATGCGACCAGCTCTGGGGAGGAGCACACAGAGCAGTCCAATCTAGTAGCATTCCTGAATGGGAGAGTCCCAGGAGCTGGAAGGGGGAAATCAGCCCTGGGCCTGAAACAGAAAGGGCTCAAGCCTGCAGCTTATGGGGTAAAATATATAAAGGAGGGGGAATAGAGGGTAAACGGGAGACTCAACTGTGAAGAGAGAGGGCTGGGTGAAGAATACAGAGAGAACCAAAGCTAGCCCAGAGCATGCTGGTAGTTAGCCCTAGTTGTAGCAAGATATGGGTGCAGAGGGGTGAGCGGAAGAGTTAAGGATGAGAATGAAGACAAAGGAAGAACCAGAGGAGAGATCCTCAGGGCAGTCCACCAGAACAGGGACATGACAGCTTAGGTCCCAAGGGAGCCCAGCTGTCACTCAGGCAGTTTACACTGCAGCAGGGAATAGAGCCTGAGGCTCTTCTGTCTCGTGGTGCTGCAGGTGCCAGCCCTGTTTGTCTCCTAAAATAAAAAAAACAATGCCAGTCTGGGAGGGAAGGAGTTTCCCCTTTGTGCTGGGGGAACAGGGAAGAGGGAGGATCTCTGTGCAACGAGGACAGCCTGAAATTGGGATCCCTGGGCTGGGAAGCGGTCTCAGACTAGCGAGAAAGAAGAGAGAGAAAGAACAGTCTCCAGGAGTCCCAGGCACCAGTGGGCTATCTGGAGAGTGGATGGGGCCACGTGTGCTGGCCCAGCACAGTTCCAGGCTCTGGCACAGACTTATTCCTCCAGAATCAGAAGGAGAGTCCACAACCTGCAGCACATCAACAGGTGAGGGAGTCCACCAGCTCTCAGTGTGCTCTGTTCCAGCTGCTCCACACTTTACACGTTCAGCTTGCCAGCAATGGTCATGAGGACTTTCAGGATGGGCATGAAACCAGACACCTCACTGAAACTGCTGCTGCTCACCACTTGGGTGTGAACCAGGAGACCTTGTTGGTAGTTCCTAGCCTCAATGCAGCGGGCAATTTCATGGAGACCCATGAGGATGGTTGGAGAGAGCTGTGGGGAAGGAGCAGAAATGAGTCAGCATGTTCAGCAGTGTAACACAGGCCCTCCTCCCTCCAGACCCTTCCCTCCTGTTCTTTACCTCATCCTTACCAAACAGCACCTACACACTCAAGCAGTAGCAGGAAGGATAGTCTGCTTCCTCCCTTGGTTTCCCAGCCAACAACAAACATTAATCTTTACAGTGAGCGCAGGTCCTAAGTAATGACATTTCAGCATTAACTGAATATCTGATGTATTTGAGCAGCTCAAAGGTCTATCTAGAATGGAATCCTGTCTCTATTCAGGCCTAATATGGACACTCAGGGAAAGGGTGTATGTTAAAAGGATGCTTCCCTTGATAGCTATCCATCCAGCAGTTGGCATCAGCAGCTTCAGAGCTTTCTAAGCCAGAGGTTACACTAGGTTCACACCTACCCCCAAGTGCCCCTTCCCTTCTAGAACCTTTCTATATGCCACTATAAATCCTGGATGTAAAAGCACCCTGCAAATACCTCCCCAGCTTTTTCTTACACTACGTTTGGGCCAAGGTTAAGGAAAAAGAGGTAAGGCTGGCTGGATTCAAGGTGCATTATAAGGTTTGGCACTCCCCTAGCTTTCTCAAGAGGGTATGTGCTGGAAACACTGGGACAGACACCAAGGCCCAAAATCCAACGCAAAGGTGGGATCAGGAACCTTGCTGGACCAGAAGGAATGGTGACACCTACTTACCGTCTGCTCACGGAGCTTCTCATACAAACACTCCAGCCGCTGCAATGCATCCTCCAGCTTCCTTCGGGTTTTCTGAAGTGAAACAGGTATTGCTAGCTCTGCCAGAGCTTCAAACCTACCTCTCCCAGAACAAAGTTGTTCTTGCTCAGTCCCTCTCCTCCTCTGTTCTTCCCACAGCACCTTACAATTCAGCTGTATCTCAGCCTCTGTCAGCCAGGGACTGTGATACAAGCCAGCCATGCCCTCACTGTGCACATATACACGCACGTTTTCTCTCCTCAAGACAGGAAGCTGGATTTGCCCCTTTTCCCATCTCTCATGCCCTAGGCATTCCTCCTTCTGCCAGTGTTTGCAGACCACAGGACAGAGCGACTACTTCCAAAGCTTGAGAAACATCCCCTATCCACTAGTTGACCCACAGGGCATTCAGACAGCCTCACCCTGGCTGACCTAAGCAACAGCTTCTTCCCTCATCTCCTTGAGGAAAAGGGGGAATATCCTTCCCACTCTAGGTAACCACCAAGGAAAGGGCCTGAGTACTGAAGCTCTGGTAGGACTGACCCCATTAACCCCACCTTGGATAATCCACTCACACGTAGATTATACCGTGGATAGAAATGCCTGGTTCTGGGCAACACTGGGACAGTAAGCCTTAGGAGCTCAGGTGCGTTGCATTGCTGCACGAACCCAGCTATTCAACCTCCACATAAGCCAAGTGCTAAGCCCAAACCAACAGGCCTTTCTGTCCATAGAGAGAACCTTTAGGTTATCTCCCAGTAATTGCTACACTGCACTCTCAGAAAGCACAGAGCAAACATGCTGAAGCTGCTGCTACACACAAATTGTCTGACTCTGAGATAGCAGTTTGGGCTCAGTGCTCATCCCAACATCCACTAAGCAGAGGTATTCTGGAAGGTATTGGTGGTGCCCACAAGCTCTGGGAAGACTTAGCAACCTAACATGATGCTGCAAACACTGCTTTTCTGCTTCCAGACAGTCTGGCCTGATACATTCATGGAACATGACACGTATGCCAACAGCCTTCCAGGAACCAGGGTGTAAAAATTACAGTGACTCGGACACAAAGGTTACCTGGCTTTCTCTTCCAGCCAGGATATCTCAGCCCTTCCCTCTTAGCTCTGAGGATAACTGGTAATACCAGCTCTGCAGGAACTATCTACAGATCAAGCCAGTGAAAACCTTTCCTCAGAGAAAAGAGCCAGGAGGACAGAACCATTGGTCCAGAGAGGCAAGGAGAAGCAGTGGATAAATACTAGAGAATGCATCTCAGTTCCAAGAGATGGACAAGCCTTTGGCCTAAAGGAAGGAAGCAATTAACTTGGTTATAGGGACAAGACTCTTCCTCTCTTTTCTCAACCAAAAGAAGGGAGTACCAGTCAACATCTACGAGGGCAAAAAGCCAAAGATCAGAGAAGGGAGGACTTACTGGATCAGTGGCGACAGCAGAGCAGCGTTGCACCAACCCTTCAAATGTGGTCTTCAGAGCCTGGTGCTCAGGGGGCACCTCCTTCTTCTCAACCCTCTCCACAGGTAGCTGGTGATACTAACAGAGAGAGAAGCAGCTGAATGAATACAACAGGAACGTGAAAGGCTGGAGCAGGGAGATTCCCCTCCTGCAGCTATGAACAGAGAAGATTTAACCCCTTTGCAAACCCAGAGAATACCTAGAAGCACAGAGTTAGATTATCATCTTCAGACTGTGGTATAGTTTCGGGCCTCTCTAGATTCGCAACTCCAAGCAGGCTGACAGCCTGCCTGGCCTCCCTCCCTGTCTCCCAGCTGTACCCAGGTGTCATTTTCCACCCTGGCAATTCCTTTAACACTCAAGCAGAGATGTCTTATAAGGGCTAGGGAGCAACATAAGCCCTGCAGCTGCCAAGTAATAAGAACATCAAAAGCTGAGTTGTTTTTCTACTTCACAAGGAGCTGGTGGCTGGGGAATGCCCCACTTTCCCTGGGTACCTGCAGGCTGCCTTCCTTGGGTGCTCCTGGGGGTGACTGGCCAGACTCTTGCAACCTGGACAGCTGAGGATGGATCCCTTGGGGCTCTGCAGGCAGGCTCATTACTGGAGCTGTGATGGGGGCTGGAGGAGTAAATTTCTCAGGCAACTGTCAGCAAAAAGAAATAAAAGAAAAAAAAAATCAAGAAAACCAAGTCCAAGGAAGGAGAGTTGGTTACATTCTCTGCAGTCAAATTCAACTTCCTTTCTAACTTGCAGAGTGCCCAGTTCTCAAGATGATGTGTAACACATCCCTTTTCTTTCAGTCCCCTGGCTCAGAGCATGGGGCCCTTCCTCTTGCATCCCAGATGAAGAGTCAAAGCGACAGCAAGAAAACTCCTCTGGAATTGTTCAATCAAACAGATCCGTTGCCCCTGAAAGCACTGGTCCTCAGAAAGCCGCCTTGGCTCTGTGACGGCACGAGTCTTGAATGTAGAGATTAGCAGCAGTAAAGTGTCCAACAGAGCAAGTGTTGGGGAAAATCCCACGACATAGGGGGAGAATCCTCTTGCAAACACTTCATCGTGCCCCAGCTAAGCCAGAGAGTCAGGCTAGATTCACTCTGACGGGGCTAGATCAAAAGGAGATGGCTTTAACAAGAGGCTAATCCTGTTGTAGTGAGCACAGCCTGAAGCAGGTTCCCAGCTATGCTGCCAGAAAAAGGGCGAGAAGTCTGTTCCAAGCTAAAGAAGAGGAGTTGGGGGTGGGAATGGTGCCAAAGAAGCTTCTTGTCACACCTGCCAGCAGGCAGCAGTGATAGAGTACTGATAGCATTTGTGGCAAAAGAGCTCAGCTCACAGGTCCTCTGGTGCAATCACTACAAGGCAGAAAGCAGCAAGGCCAACATGGCAGGCAGCTCACAGCTATGCCTGTCCCAGCTTCTTTCAGCAGAAGTGCCTTATCAGTGGGTATCAGCATCAGAGGAAAAATCACTGTGGGTCTCTCTGTCATGAGAGGAAATGCTGCCCCCAACTGTCAGGTGCGAAGTGAGCATGATCTCCCCAGCCACTATCAAAAAAAGGTGTGTGGGCAAGGGGATAAGATTAAATCTGTATTTCTAGCAACAAATTACTGTAGTCAGCCTGGGAAGTACTGTCAGAGGATGCAGCACCACAGATGATAACCATATTACAAAACAGCCACCCTGGAGAACAGGATGCGAGTTTGAATGGCAAAGGGTTGGGATAACTTAGACTCCAGTCCTAGCTATGCATGTAATGCACAAGTGAACAGACCAACATGGAATGAGACCTGCTGAGTGTGACAGGAAGCATTTATAGGAATGTGTCTGTTGCATGGAGCTCCCTGGCTAAAAGACACCCAACACATATTGCAGCTGAAAGCTTACCTTTTTCTTTTGAAGGCCTCCTCTTATAGCAGAGGGATCAGTCCAAGATTCCTGAGCTGCCAGGAGACAGAACAAGACACAAATGTCAGACTTTGAGAAGGTGGTCACAGCAACAGTTCATGGTTGCTTGCCATTTGGAACTTGCTCAGCAAAAGGGCCCATGGCTCCAATTCCCCCATCATTGCACCTTCAGACCATTTCAACCAAGCCCACAGGCCCAAGAACTGCTCTTGCTTCCCTCTCTCTTTCTTAATTATATTCTTAGCATCCAAGTATGTGCACAGGCTTCATGAGGTGACGTCTGATCAGATTTAGCTGGCACACACCCACTTTTTGCAACTACCTGAAGCTTCCCACATTCTGCATAGGTTGTGCAAGTCAGCCTCAGAGTCAGGCCTGAACCTTGGTCAGGACCTGCATGTGTGTGCACATCAGGGTTCAGGGAATTCCTGGGGTTCCCCAAGCAGAGAATCCAGCGCTGTGGTACCTGGTACCACAGTGAGGGCTATGCTATGGGTGAGAGAGGGCTTCTCAGCAACACTCACAGGAGTGCCTCACGGTGGCAGTTCTCAGCAATGCAGGTTGCTGCGATAGAAGGGGGAAGAGTTAGGAGGAGGTTGAAATTTTCCCCTTCCAAAATCACGTTCAGAACCAAAGCTCAGGAAAATTTGCTGGCTTCCCAACTAGAAAAAGAATAGACTTAACCAATCCATCCCTTGGGAGCAGAGGGGTGTCTCAGCAGATGCTTCTGTGGTACCTAGCCTCTAACCTCACTCCACGTAATTAAAAAAAATAAAAAATATCTATCAGACAACATGACATCAAAAGACTTGTGATCACACTTTATTCCGCTAAGGTTGAATTCCAGCTGCCTTGTCTGCTGCTGTCCTGTAAGGGTACCTGTATCTCTAGACAAAATCCCAGTGCTTCTTTTGTCACCCCAGTATTAATAACTTCAGGCCCATAAGATGGGAATAATCTGTGAGAAAGTGGCATAATTCTAAGAGGCAATATCAGAATTGCTGGAGCTCAGTGCCACGCTTAATGAGTCACTGATCCTGAACTGAGCTTTAAATATCACAGGGGAAAGATGCAAAAGGTGCTTTATTACTTTAATTACCTTTATTATTAAAATTCTGGCAGCCTCTTTTTGCCCTCCCTTTTCCCATGATTTCAAGACTTGTTCGCTGATGAGTTTGGATCAGTAGTTTAATTAAGTTGGCACTTGTTTCTAGCTTGGGGATTCTGTGCCCTAGCACTCTGCTGGCCCCCACTGAGCCTGTGGCCTAGCAATCCCTGGCACTATGCCAACTCAGTGGCACTTTGAATCCTCACAGGAAACATCTATTTAAATTATAGTCTTTAAGCCAGGCACTTAATCATCTGACATGAGACAACAGGACCCTGCTGCATTTTGCTAGGATGAAACTCTATCTTCCCTATGCTACTTGTGAAAGAGGATTTCTCACCAACCATGAAAGGAATGCCCCATGGCAGCAGTCTCCAGCAATGCCTGTCCTAGAGAAAACAGGTCTGTCAGAAGCTGGAGTAAGGGATTATCCTGGCCAGAAAGGAGATCAGCCAACACACTGCTGTCCTTCACCCTGGCCCCGACACTTCCCAAGAGTGTGGGATTTCTACATGTGGAGATCTCCCTCCATTGCACTACTGAGATTTTGTCCATGAGCTGTTCAGATCATGATTCTGTGTTCAGGGATTTCCAAAGTAAGCAAGTTTGGCCAGTCAGATTGAGTGATCTTACAGTCCCTTTCCAGGCTGAAACAAAGTACCCCTCAAAACCAGAACAATAATAGCAGGCAAGAAATCACTCTCAAGGAAGCCTGTTTGCACTGCTGATCCAGGCATAGAATCATAGAATGGTTTGGGTTGGAAGGGACCTTAAGGATCATCTAGTTCCAACCCCCCCTGCTGTGGGCAGGGACACTCTTGACTAGACCACGTTGCCCAAAGCCCCATCCAACCTGGTCTTAAACATTTCCAGGGATGGGGCCTCCACAACCTCTCTGGGGAACCTGTTCCAGTGCCTCACCACTCTAACAAGAATTTCTTTCTAACATCTAATCTAAATCGACCCTCCTTCAGCTTAAACCCATTACCCCTTGTCCTGTCACTACACTCCCTGATAAACAGTCCCTCCCCATCTTTCCTGTAGGCCCCTTCAGGTACTGGTAAGCCACAATTAGATCTCCCATGCCATATGCATGCCAAAACCTGGGAATAAACGCTTCTCCCCCAGGAGAAGGGAACTTCCCAACAGTGAATTCCCATGGGGCATCTTCAGCCTGAGGAAGTGCTTGATATCCTTGCTCTTGGAATCATCTTTCTTTTAACAGAGAAACATTGAGGCCTTTTGTTTCTCTGCTGAAGGGACAACTCCCTTTCTAGCGTCCCACTCCACACAGCAAGGCTTGCTTGGTGGTGTAATGTGGCTGCTCAGTACTCTGGTTTCCTAAATAAAGCTGAGATTCCCTGGATAATCTTTTGTGCCTGGTAGATGGTCTTTGGTGCAAGCAGAGACAGCCCACAGATATTAAGCCTTACCGCACTGACAGAACAGACTGAAAGATACCCACTCTCCATCATCAATGAATACCAAGGAAACAAATCAGTACAAAGCATCAGTCAGAAAAGCTCTATGGTCCAAATTCTCCCCAGCAGAAAGACTGAGATTCAAACCCAAACCTTGCCCTGTAACTAAAGCCAAAAGGGTTTTCTGGTTCCCCTTGGAATAGAGCCCCCAAATTCTGCTTGGGAAGCTCCATCATTACTCATGCTGAGACCCACCTCTTCCAAACCACCTAGGGAAAGCACAAGCACAAGTAAAGTCACACATAAGGCTGGGAGTGTCACAGGGAGAAAACAAGAGTTACAACCCCTGGCCTGTTACTTGCCTAGAGAACCAAGAAAGGAGCAGGGGCTGCTTCCCTGTCCTGCTGGCCCAGCAACAGTGAAGGGACACAGAGACTGAGAATGCTCTAATTCCTCCAGGACTCGAGGAAAGTAGAGAAGGAAGAAGCTGGAGCCCCTGCCTTCTGTATCAAAACTCATCAGTAAGAGCACAGTGCTTTCACTTCACTTGCAACATCCCCAGCTGTCCCTTACTAGTCCTCAGGACAAGTATGTCCACTATCCCAGTTGTACAGCTCCCCAGGCATGCAAGGAAACAACAAATAGCAGTGAGCATGCACGCATGCACACACAGTAAAACGTGCACACCGCCCCCACATTTCATTGGAAGCAGCAACATTGCCTCCCCCACAGGTCTGGAGGGTTCTCTGGGTACTACCTGCATGATCCACGTGGGGATCTAGCCAAGGGAAGAAACCTGAAAATCAAGGTAGGGTGGGAGAGTCATCATCACCAACAGCTTTTACTCAGTGAATAATGTTCCTGGACTACTATCCCTGACAGCTTTTCAGAAGGATTTTTTCCAGCCTCAGCAAGTATTTCCCACAGGCTTCACACAGTGGGATTTGCTATCCCCAGTTAAACCCAGTTCAGCAAAGGATTCCAGGTGAAAGCAAAACTCAAAGCCTCAGTTCCTTCACTATCAGAATACACGTGGCTTGGAAAAGCATCTGCTTAAAAATCTAAGGACTGTCAGCTTTGCTGTTAGGGGTCTCCACATCCTAGCTAAACCTGTCCTGTCCCCTGAGATTGAAACAGAATTAACAAGCACCAGATGCGGTGATGTTGTGGGAAATAGAAGAAATACCCATCCACTGGGAACTAGGTCCAAAAATATTCTCCTTTTTCTTTATCGTTCTATCAAAGACTTCACAGTACTTGCAGGCTGGGCTGGATTCAAACCACAGACCCAGGGGGAAAAGGCTCCAGGTTTAATACAGTGCACAGAGGAATTCAGAAGAGATTCCCAGGCAAGCACTTTATTGCAACAGGAAAAAGTGGAGAGAACTGGAGCACACCAGACAGAGAAATTTGATCCTGAAGCTAGGCAAGGGGTATCCCATGGACAGAGAAGCAGCGTCCTGCTCTACAGCATTTCAAATGCACTTCTTGTGTAAGTTAGGTAAGCAGAGGCGAGGTCAACAGGCCTTCTACGAGGCATTCCCTGGGAACCACCACCCTTTCAGTCAGAGTGGATGCCTCTGGAGTAGATGGTTACTCAGGGTGCGCTGGGGACCTGAAGAGACAGCATCTTGTAACCACAACCTGGGGGACAGTGGCTGAATGAGCTGAATGAAACTGTCATCATTGCTGTTTTTCACCACCACAGCAAGACTCAGCACAATGTGCCTGTAAGGTTAGCCTCAGCACCACATCCAGCCTTCATGGTGACAGACCAGACCTCAGAAGGCCCATGTCCACTCTGTACTGCAAACCCCATCCAGGACTGTCCTGGATGCACAAGTCACAAAAGCAATACTTACCTACGGGAGGAGGAGGAATGCTGGCTGCTGGCAGGGGCTTAGTAGATGGAGCTCCAGGACCTCCCTGAGGGTAACCCATGTTCATGGGGGAGTTGAATGGTGTTGAAGAGAAACCTAGAGGAGACTGGCTTGCCACAGGGAGAGGACAAGCTGCAGGAAGCTGAGACGATGGGACTGAGGCTGGAGTGAAGAGGGCAGGTCTGGGTGGTGGAACACCAGGAGATGTCATGGGCATGGACTGTCCTGGCAGAGAAGGCTGGCTGGGGAAGGGAGCAGGACCAACAGGTCCGACTCCCACTGGTCCAAATGGCTGAGACTG